TAAACGCTATGAAAAAATATGAAACACATAAAAGATTTTTTTTAATTAATTTAGCCGTTAGATTTAAATTTGAACCGTTAAATATTTTTTTTACTGTTGAATTTCATCAAATTAAATCTTAACCGTTGGATTTAATGAATTTATAAATATAAAACTAAATAAAATACACATATATGGTGGGCTAGCCCCACTAATCATGGGCTAAATCTGGCTTTTGTTTAGCTTTTAGCTTTTAACTCACACATTTAGCATGAATTGAGTTGGATTTGAAGGGAGAATAAAACCTAAAAAATAGCATTTAGCCCAGGGTTGGAGATGGTCTAAGAGAAGGGGGTTGTATTATGTCGACGATGTGGCTCCTAGCAGAGTGAATCAAGTACGCAGTGGGAATCGTGACAAGATTTAGAAGATTTAGTTAAGGCATTGGCGACTTGGGCATGCCTCGTTTGGCTATTTACGGAAGTTGGTTATGTTATTATTTACTAGTATTTCAGACTTTGATAGCCACATGTGTCTTTCTTTCCCTATACGAGTTGCTCGAAGAAACATAAAGAATTAGATTTCAGGTGGTTCAGTTGGATCTTTTTCAACCACCACAGGATGGCCCATGCTTCAGGCATAAATCTTTGAATGAAGATCATGGCGAAGACTTATTCAGCTTTTCCACACCATAACTAGCTACAATGATTTTACAACTAGTCATAGTCAAATGGGGTGTCATGTCTTCCACATAAAGTAGTTTCTTATTCGATCGCAGCCTTGCTCATACCTAAGTTCCCATTACCTATTCTTTTGTGTATATCCTGAATCCATTCACAAGACGCAAGCATGCGCCCAATCTGGAACTAGAGGAGTGAGGACGAACATTACTTGTTGGCATAAACAAATGACACGATAATACACCAAAATTAGGAAATGTCATTATACAATACCAAAGCTAACTATTGTTTTATTGGCGTACTATCGATATGAACAGGAACAAGCAATTTTTTATTTATTCGAACACGATATAATTTCACTCAACTTATAACTTGTGAGTTTGTTTTAAGTTCAAAGAATGAATACAATAACTTCAAAAAGTGAACATTCCTAATATTAGTTCACAAAATTATATTTATATTGAATTTATTCATCAAATTAAGAGACAAAGATATTTTTTTTTTGTCAGGACATCCCTCATCGAGTACGATAGCGACTGGGGTGGCTGATCCACTACGTACAGAGCACTCTGATTATGATTATAAATTGGATGCTGCTAAAGCTGCTAGACAAACAATCAATACAGCTCAACTTTTTTACAACTCCATTTCTACTTTTGCACAAAACAAATATCATCGTCATGGGGATGGGGTTTTACAACTCCATTTCTGCAGTGTTTTTGTCATCCTTTTTTATGCATGCCTTCATTCTTCACTCTTGCCTTCCTTGTTTCGCCCTTCCGGGAAATGAGACAGATAGACTGGCTTTGCTTGAAATCAAAGCTGGCATAACTCATGACCCTTTTAAAGTCCTGACTTCATGGAATGAAACCATCCACTTTTGCTCTTGGCATGGCGTTACATGTGGTCGTCGTCATAAGAGGGTGACAAGGTTGAGCCTGCGGTCCTTCAAACTTGCAGGATCTATATCGCCGCATATTGGGAACTTGAGTTTTTTGAGAGTCATTGATCTCCAAAACAACAGCTTAGGCCGTGAAATTCCTCCAGAATTCAACCGCCTGCACAGATTGCAACACCTATGGTTAAACAACAATTCACTGAGTGGAGAAATTCCCACTAACTTGTCACAGCTCCTCGGGCTCGACATCGGTATCAATGTGCTGATGGGAAAAATCCCAAATAAGCTTGGCCTCTTGTCAAAGTTAAGATATTTTGGCATAGACTCTAACCACTTTACAGGGGGAGTCCCTAGCTCTTTTAGCAATTTATCATCCCTTGAATCGTTCTTCGCATATTCTAATAATTTGAGTGGCACTTTCCCGGATATTTTTGGCCGAATGACCAATCTTAGCTTTATTGATTTTGGCGAAAATAGCTTTTCGGGTATGCTTCCTCCCTCAATCTTTAATCTCTCTTCTCTCATAGACCTTATTATGGGAGAGAATGAAATCCAAGGGAGTCTACCCTCAAACGTAGGTATGGTCTTTCCGAGTCTCCAAACATTTTCTATTTCCAATAACCAATTCAGTGGATCTATTCCTGTTTCATTATCAAATGCCTCAAATCTATTTAGATTGGGGATCGGAGGTAACCACCTGCATGGAAAAGTCCCTCCATTGACGAATTTGCACAAGCTTGAGTGGTTAATCCTTGCTGGCAACCATCTCGGAAGTGGGGGAATTGATGACTTGACCTTTCTCTGCGATTTGACCAACGCCACCCATTTAGAAATTCTCCAAATGTTTACCAACAATTTTTGGGGCACGTTACCTCAGTGCATAGGAAACCTGTCTTCTTCTCTTCAAATCTTCATTGTAGCTCAAAATAAAATATTAGGAAGTATCCCGAATGAGATTGTAAATCTGGCTAACTTAGAGCTTTTGGGGATGGACGAGAACCAATTTTCAGGTCACATTCCCCCTGGTCTGGGAAAGCTGCACAAGTTATATCAATTAAATTTGGGTATGAACTCGCTCTCTGGCAATCTTCCATCCTCTTTCAGAAATTTAAGTCAATTAAATGTGTTAAGCTTAGCAGGCAACAAACTTCAAGGCAATATCCCGCCGAGTTTAGCAGAGTGTCAGAATTTGAGGATCTTACATCTTGGTGCCAACAATTTCAGCGGTATCATATCGCAAGAAATCTTTGGTCTGCTGAACCTGTATGATTTGAGTTTAGGACAAAATCAGTTTATAGGCTCCCTGCCAGAGAACATAGGAATTTTAATAAATCTAGAGTATTTAGATATCTCTGATAACATGTTATTGGGTAAAATTCCGGCTAGTCTTGTTAGTTGTATAAAATTAGAGTACCTAGACATGCATGGAAATTTCTTCAATGGGACAATTCCATCAACTTTGAGTTCACTAAGAGGTCTTTCAAAATTGTATCTTTCTCACAACAACTTGTCAGGCACCATTCCAGAATTCTTAGAAGGTTTTGTATTTTTGGAATCTCTGAATCTATCTTATAACAATTTTGAGGGCATGTTGCCGATCAAAGGAGTGTTCAAGAATGCAACGGCGACATCAGTTGAAGGAAATAGCAAGCTTTGTGGGGGCATACCTGAGTTTCATTTGCCAAAGTGCAAACTCCAGCATGCAAAAAAGAAAGGATTGAGCTTAACCATGAAATTGGTTCTCTCCCTCGTTTGTGGGATTCTTGGAGTCATTTTTGCACTAACCTTTTTGTACCTTTATTGCTCACGGAGGGACAAAAAGGGTCAAGCTGCAACTGATTCGGACAAATTTCCCCAGGTGTCTTACCAAAGTCTTCTAAAGGCAACAAATGGATTCTCCTCAACCAACTTGGTCGGTGTGGGCAGTTTTGGGTCCGTTTATAAAGGACTACTTGAGCAAGGTGAAACTACAGTTGCCATCAAGGTACTCAACCTCGTTCGTCGCGGAGCTTACAAAAGTTTTATTGCTGAGTGCAAGGCTTTCAAAAATATTAGACACCGTAATCTTATCAAGGTACTCTCGGCATGTTCTGGTTTTGATTATCGCGGTCACGACTTCAAGGCCTTAATTTATGAGTTCATGGTTAACGGGAGCTTGGAGGAATGGCTGTATCCAATTCATACAATTGGTGAGAGAAATGAGAGGCCAAGGAGCTTAACAATTTCTCAGAGGTTGAATATTGTTATTGATGTTGCTATGGCATTGGATTATCTCCATCATCATTGTGAGACGCCAATAGTTCATTGCGACCTCAAACCCAACAATATTCTTCTCAATGAGGACATGGTTGCACATGTAGGTGACTTCGGCTTAGTGAGGTTCCTACCAAAAGCTGCTGAAAATTCTTCGGGAAATCAATCAAATTCTTTAGGGATCAAGGGAACCATTGGTTATGCTCCTCCAGGTATTTACACTTGGTAGTTTATTTTTTCCTAGCTAGTATTTTAAAATTGTGCGGTATTTAATTTAAAATTTTCAAACATGAAATGAGCTTTCAGCACGTCACTAGAAAATTAGAATATAATGTTCTGAATTGTGGAATGCAGAATATGGCATGGGTCATGAAGTGTGGACACAAGGTGATGTGTACAGCTTTGGCATCCTCCTGTTGGAAATATTTACAGGAAAAAGACCGACCGATGACATGTTTCAGGGAACTTCAAACCTCTATAGCTTTGTGAAGGCAGCTCTGCCTGAGCAAGTGGAAAAGGTTTTGGATCCCTTTCTTGTTCAAGAAAGCAATCATCCTAATGCGGGGAAGGCAAGGAATCGCATCCTAATCATAGAAAGTTTAATCTTTGTTTTAGAAATTGGTGTTGCTTGCTCAGCGGAGTTGCCTAGAGAAAGATTGAACATCTATGATGCTGTGGCACATATGTGTCGGATCAGAAACAAACTTCGAGCAAATGGTATATGTGAATAGAAGCTTATTGTTAATATGTGGTATAGCATGTAATAGTATTGATGTTATGTGAATGCGTTCTCATATTTGTTAGATAAAAATATGCAGTACATATGGCTAGTTGATCAATGCTTGCCAAACAAACTTATTTGCATCGAATTATACTTGAACAATGACATTCTAGCTTTGCCAAAGATTACAGGACGAACACTTTGAAAGAATTAAAATTAAAAATTAAAAAACAAAGTTGTGGAAAGTATTCATCAAATGTCAAACCTATGTTGGAATTCCTGCTCAATGTTGAGAGGTTTATCCCTGGTTGAAAATGGGAAGCGTTCCATTGTAGTTTATTAGTAATAAAAAATAAGTCATACCTAGTCAGGAAGACATAAACCTAACTCCTCGTACTACAAGAAAAAAGAATAAAAATACATTAAAAAGAAGGGGTATATAAACCTTACTCTTCTATAAACGAAAGAATAAAGATACAAATATGCATTCATCATTCATCCATTCATCAACATTTATCTGAGCATTCATCATCTACACGAATGTAGAAAAGAATTTGAGGCTGAGTTCAGTCATACATACAATAGCTACAAACAAGAACTCCCTTTAAAAATTATAATAACTTCAATTGTTAGATCAAATTTTAATAAGACGGATTCTCTGATTTGGTGGATTAGGAGGAAGGGATCCAGACCGGATCCCTTTCCGGTCCAGGCAAAACAGAGGTGGACATTCATCAAAGTCATGTCTCCGATCCAGTATCTGCACAGTTTTTGCTCAATATTTGTCACATGGAGGCACGCAAGCACACAGAAAATTACATGAGCATTGACGAAATTTTAGGTCTATGAATGCATGACAGAAACATTTCACAAATCCGTATGACTTTCAGAGATATTAAACCATGCTTAATTTTAACGCAGTGGAGGGATTTGATTTACCTTTCATTTTGTAGATCCGAGTTCTTGCAGCCATCTTTGCTGTGTGTACAGCAGCTCCATGTGTGAGCCATTGATCCTTGCGGCTCCTATTCCCCTTGGCCTTACTCGGATCCCCAAGTCTACATACAGAAAACATACAGAGTCAGAATTTCGTTTTCATTTGACCTTTGGTCATGAAAACGAAAGGGAGAAATGGTTGGATGCATTTTTATTTCAGATATCGCCAAGTGGAGACCATAATCGCAGAGAGAATGAAAGCTCTTTACCTCGGGTTTTGCAGAGGAATGCACGATGGTGACAATCTGGGCTAGAATCACAGATCGCCATGGCTGGGTTCCGTTTTTGACAGAGATGGAGATGGAGATGGATTCATGTTTTGACGTTCTGGGCTGAAGACAGAATCTAGGGTTTCAGTTCCATGAGAAATGAAGAGAGAGAGGAAATGAAGGAGATAGCTTTCACGGCTCTGGGCTCGTGGGTAGTGAGAGAGCGAGGTTATCAAACGGCGCTAGTTAGGAGGGATGAGGAAATGCTTCCTGTCACGGGTTCAACTCTCCAGAGCACTGAAATTTTGCTTCTTTTTCCAATATTTTCCAGCGCCTCTGTTTCTTTCTTGTCACCAGGTCACCACTTCGAATCCCAGGTGTGTCAGTTTCCTTGTCTTTTCTTTTATTTCTGTTCCTGTTTCCTTTGTTATTTTATATTTTCTTTTATTGTTTCTTTCTTTTATTTTCTATTTCTATTTTCCTAGTTTATTTTCCTTGTCTTTGTTAGCTATTTTTCAATTTTTAAGGATTTAATATTTTTGTTTTCTCTCTTTATTTTTTTCACATCTTCAGGACAATGTGTGATTTAAGTTTGGGGTGGGAAAATAAAATTTTTAGATTTTTAATTTTTAAGTGTGCTAAAATTTTTCATTCTTTTTAAGTTATTATTCATAGATTATTTTAAACATTTGAATAAATGGACATGGTGGAGATTAATCTCACAGTAGAGACTTTTCTATTTATTGTTGTTTAGGCACTAATTCATGAGTTATCCTTTAACAATTAGCACATTCACACGAACATGATTTGTGGGGGTGAGATTGAAGCACGTGCTTTTCGTCTGAGTTTTTTTTTTTTATTTTTTTTTGTTCTAAAAAAAAGTAAAGTAAAGTTATTGTTATAAATAAAGTAATAATTGTTCCACCCAAGACTTTGCTTAGTAATCGAGCCAGTTGTCACATCCCAGGCTCGACTCCATTGTAGCACGATATTGTCCGTTTTGGGCCATGACCACGCCCTCATGGTTTTGTTTCTAGGAACTCACACAAGAACTTCCCAGTGGGTCACCCATCCTGGGATTGCTCTCGCGCGAACTCGTTTAACTTCGGAGTTCCTACGGAATCCGAAGCCAGTGAGCTCCCAAAAGGCCTCTTGCAAGGTAGAGATGGGAATATACATATAATGCTTACAGGATTCTCTCCCCTAGGCGATGTGGGATGTTACAATCCACCCCCCTTAGGGGCCCGACGTCCTTGTCGACACACATCTGGCCACGAATTGGCTCTAATACCAAATTGTCACATCTGGCCTAGGCCTCCACCACATCCCGGGCTTGACTCCACTATAGCACGAAATTATCCACTTTGGGCCTCGACCATGCCCTCACGGTTTTGTTTCTGGGAACTCACACGAGAACTTTCCAGTAGGTCACCCATCCTGGGATTGCTCTTGCGCAAACTCTCTTAACTTCTTAGTTCTTACGAAATTCGAAGCCAATGAGCTCCAAAAACGCATCGTGCTAGATAGAGATGAGAATATACATATAAGGCTTACATGATGCACTCCCCTGGGCGATGTGGGATGTTACACCAGTCTTGCCTGATCAGCAGTTATTCTCGCGTCAAACAGTAGAGTCTTAGCATGGGAAAATGGTTAGTTGGTTTCGTAGCTTTTTCAACTCGAGTTAGTAAGTTCTTAGGGGTGTTCTACACCTAGTGCCCTAAAGCCCTTATGGTTTGGGAGTCATTGACCAAAAAGTCATTGCATGGGTTGGATCAAAAGCTTAAGTGAACAAACATTGCACAACCACTACTATTACTATAAAAAAAATTAAAAATAGAAAAGAAAAAAAAATAGTTTGAAGTTAGTAAGTATTAAATTAAAATGACGAGTGGTAAGGGTTTTAGTCAAGTCTTTTTAACCATGTTGGTTCACTTTACACCAAAAGAAGTTCATGAGTTCTTTTCTAATGAATTCTAAATGGCTTAGACTCTGTCGTGATATTGGTTGGAATTTTTGAAAAGATGTTATAATCTTAAGACTTCAATACGTATAGTTTTCAAAATATACATACTACGTATAATATGAAATACTTACCGTAGCCTGCAATATCTCAAGACTTCAATATGTCACAAATTTGTAAATAAGCATATAACTTCTAGTAATCACAATATCTTGCAGAAATAAATAAATCATATCGAGTGCTCATCGACACTTGCTGACACATGAGTTCATGCAGAGGTATTCTGACATGAACACGACTAAGTGTAATAATAATTTACGCTATAGTACTACAATCACTTGAAAACTAGCGCTATGCGCATCACATATAAGTCCTAATTGCCTATAGCAAACTAGGACAGGACTGGCACCTATAATAGAGCCAAATGTGAGCGTACGATATGATGTGAACATACAGGTGAAAGACTGGCCTTGGCCTGGGTGAGTACTAACATCAGTGCAGCACACGATGAGCAAATAACGCAAATATGATCATGCGATGGTAAATCGATAATTCGATAATTCAATAACCCTAGTCAATGAAATACTAATCATAACCGTAAATATCATTAAAGCATCCATACTAATACGCATACATGTGCATCCCATAGGACGTAGTATAATTGCATGATTTCCGTCAATACGGTAATTTTATATACGTTACCCTAATATAGGTGTAACGTAGAAAATTCTTTATCAAATATATAAATGGAAACTAATAAACACACACACACACACACACTATATAAAAGAAAAAACTCACTTATAGATAATCGCGTACACAGCCGTTCGAACTAGGAAAGTTGAAGTCTCCGATAGTAATTGCACCTAAGCATAATACTGAGACTCGTTGGTAAAACTTGATTAAAACTTTTGAATTTGGGAAAACGGAGCAGATTTGTAATCTAAGTGTCAAAATACACTAAGAGGGGTCCCGGGCAAAATTTCTAAAAAGTCAACGATCAACCTTAAAAAGTCAACCGAGATGCTCCAGTGGTTAACTACATTAAAACTTTAGAATTTCACTAATGGATGCCAAAAATGGACTCAGGGCGTCGAAATTAGCCTATGAGGGGTTTTTGAGAAAATTCTGAAAAAAAAAGTCAACAACAGTTAACTTTAACAGAATATTCTTTCCTCAGAATGAATATTTATAAGTGGATCCGGATTGGTCTTGTGGATCCGGGTTTGGATTTTTTTTTTCTTTTTCTCTAGCCAGTTGTCATTGCAATCGCCGAAATCTGGGAATCTTGGCTTGGAAACTTTCCTGGCTCCACCTAGCTTCGAAACTCAATTAAAACTAGCAATCTAATATACTAATTTGAAGCTCGAAATGAGAGGAAGAGAAATATACCAACATGGGGTCCTGACGTGGCCGGAATTAGCCGAAAAACGGCTCGAAGCTGCCGGATCTTTGGCCCAAAAACTGGGGAAAAATCTTCCCAGTGTGTGTTCTGCATCAAATCATCCCCCAAACTCATTTTTAAGGTTAAAACAACATAAGTGCTTCAAAATAAGAATGATATGAGGGTCTCGAGGCTCACCATGGTCGGAGAAATGAGTGAACAGTGATAAAAGTCACTATGCGGTTCCATTTTTCCACTTGGGCATTTTGAGCAAACTGGGTACAAAAGTGGTGGTCTTCTGTGAGGTTGATGGTGATGATATGGTGGAGATTTTGTCGTGAGGTTCGCCAGAGTACGGCGAGGTAGTGGTGCTGCTGCTCGGCTCCATTGTTTTTACAAAGATAATAGAGGGATAGTTTGAGGGAAAGAGAGATGAGAGATAGGAGGGTAAGAGGGAAAGAGGTGAGGTGGCAGCCAGAGAGTGGAGAAGTGAGGTGAGGGAGATTTGAAAAAAATTGAGAGATAGTCCCGAGAGATAGGGAGACACGGGAAAGAGGTGGACGAATGGGGTGTGGGCCCCATTAGCTCACAAAACAAAGCCACAAAAGAAAAACAAAAAAATATATCTCGTAACGTGAATTTACCAAAACGCCCTTCATGCTCCGAAATTTGTAAATCTTTCTCGTAATTCCGAATTCAGTTCTGCTTACACCTACGCGTTCGTACTGTCGAGTACTTCAAGGGTACGCTAAAAGAATATTTCGTATGTCTCACTATGCACTGGTAAACGAAAGTCAACTATCTCACCTCTAGGGCACTTTTGTCAAATCACTCTTTTTAAAGTTATAAAATCATAAAATTAAGGACGGGTTGTCACAATCTACCCACCTTAAAAAAAATTTATCCCCGAAATTTGAAATAAGTTGCTATACAAAAATACTCAAAGATCAATAGAAAATACATAAAGAAGAAATCAAGCTAGAGTGGTTGCATAAAAGAGAATGTCATTCTGTCGCGATCGATGTGCAATGATTCCTCTTTTATGCCTCCAAACTCATACTTTCCTTCTCCTTGAGCACAATATTATAATATAATAATTTCATAAAAACATAAGGCCAAATACATACATACATACATACATACATACATATATATATATATAATAACATAACGTCAATATATATATACAATAATGTAGATTTAAAATAGTTGTACTGAAATCAAAATTAAACATAGAAAGATTTCATCTACGCACTCGTAGTGTCATGTACTTCGAAGATATGTGTGCAGCATCCTTGGGTCAAGCCCAAAATATAATTAAATAAATAAATAAATAAAAATATCTCCCGTGATGTGAATTTACCAAAACGCCCTTCACACTTTTAAATTTGTAAAATATTCGTCGTAATTCCGAATTCAGTTCCCCTTGCGCCTACGCGTGCATACCGTCAATTACTTCAAGGATACGCAAAATGAATCTTTTGTATCTCTCACTATGCGCTAGTCAACAAAAGTCAACAATTTGACCTTTAGGGTATTTTTGTCAAATCACTCTTTTAAAATTTTTAAAATTGTAAAATTAGTGACGGGTTATCACACGATGCCCTGAGCCTTAGCATGAATATATAGTCTTTATTTAATTGCTTATGATATTATGCATGCATGTTTTGAATTATTAATTACTGTGTTTAAATTGTCTTTATGTCTTAATGATTCGCGGCCATTAGGATGTTTAGATAACTGGATGCAATTTCTATTGGATGTCATCCTGAAATTGAGGAATGCTTTCTTGTCGTTAATAATTGTAATTTCACTTAGGATGAACACCACATCTTAAGTGTTGCATGATTTTTCAAAGGGTTTTCATAAAACTTAATGAGTCTTTCATGTTCATATTTGATTCGAACGTTCAGACGGGTTGCATGTTAGATATACGTTCTATGTTAGAGGTTCCAAATTGGACATATATTAGGAAAACCTGACCTTTGAAATATGCATGGGTAATTCGTAAGCAATTGGAAGAACTATGTAGGATTGTTAAGGCAACAGCGGAACACCTCTTTTTTCATTCAGGAAAGCAAACTTCACATCTAGCTAGAACAAACTCCATCCCTTTTGTGTGGCCAAAGCTATCAAAGTTCTAAATTGGTGCAA